GACGTGGTTTTTGTGGTCTGCTACTCTTCTGGGGACCACAGCAAATTACTTCAGGATGGAGAGCGGGGAGCAGACCAGAGAACATCCATTATTCGATCTCCTCTGTGTGATCAGTGAGACAGGAGCGTTGTACTCACAGCACTTCCTGTCTCAGCTGTCACAACCCGGGCTGCACAGGAGATCAAGCAAAATACTGTGCTTGATCTTCTGTGTTGGGGGGCAGGCTCCATAAAGAGAACCTGTCACCTCCAAACATTATCACATAGGGGCTTGTTATCCCCTGTGTGATTGCAATAAAGTTAAGTTAAAACAAATGTAAAAAGTGGTGAAAATATATAAAAATGAATAAAAATTGAATTTTTTTTTAAAATTAACCCCCTCACCTCTGCCATCTGCATGTGAATGGGCATCGTGTGAGAGTGCTGCCCCCATTCCCCCGTGTGCCATGCTGTGGAAGCCGGGCAGCAGCGCTCTGTAACATGAAAAATGTGCATTACAGGGTAAGTTCACTTTCTCAAGTAATATGGAAAAATTGAATTACATTTTCAAATCACTCGGCTGTAGATCCTCAAATCATCTCTGAATTCATGCTTACACTGTCCGTCCTTCTGGAGGGGGGCTAAAACACAGGGACTATGGGGAATAAAAGTAAAGTAGCCACCGCTCCAAGCTCAGAAATTAGTTAACTAAATTTGGGATTCTAGTCCATCATGGCAGAGAGTTTAAACCTGTGGCTACTTTACAACATACACATAGACCCTCCAGAAGGTAGGACAGTGTCAGCACAAATGTCATTGATGATTTGAGGATCTACAGCTGACTGATGTGCAGATAAGCTACATTTTTGCTTAAAGGTAAGGTACTTGAAGGCATTTAACTCCTGTGTTAATTGTCACTGTAATTAGCATTCACTGGTCTTGTTTTTTATCCAACCTGTGACTGTACAGTAAAAAGAGAAACAGCACACAAGAGGTTGATACCAAGACAAATTCACAACAGAAAAACTGAAGGGCACATTGGGTAGGTTAGAGATTTTGCTGCTTTACATTTGAGGAAATCATCCAAAAACCATGAGCACAAGCCCCTGCTTCAATGTGAGTAGTCTGTAGAGGAACTGGAGACCAGGATAACCCCTTGTGATTATGTACCACTAGGATTATTTTGTCCTGGCACACTTTTCTGGGAGCCAAGTTGGTAATCTTTTTTACTATTGTTTGGTTAATGAAGGTTAAGTGTTGATTGTTTCTTTTGCTTACATTCTTTAGTTGCTCTATTATTTAGACATAAACTGTTTATATATTTGTATGTCTCTAATCACTCAGTGTAAGCTTATCCACATTGTTCTATTCAAGGTTTCACCTAGAATGACGTGCTCAGATTGGGACTAGATCGAAAATTGCTATGACATAATATCATAGTTTCAGTGCACATGTACGAGTATATCACTTGTCATCAGTATCAGTATTTCAGTAGCGTGTCACAACAGTAGTAGAATATTGTATCATGTTCCATTGATTAGTGCAGAAAGCTTAGATACCCTTCATTGGCTGACTCAAGTTATTAAAGAGGAACTCCAGGATTTTAAAAACGAACCCCTGCAGTGGGGCCACCCCTGCATTGCAAGGGTGGAAATCTTGTTTTGGTCTAAGGAAGCAAATAAAGAAAATATACTCACCTGATCTGACCTTGGTCATGCCTAGCTGCTAGACCCATGCCCACAGCCTCTTCTCCCCAGGGCTCTGGCAGTCTAAGGACCGCTGACATCATTACGTCTTATGCAGATCCATTGGTCAGCATTAGACATGAGGACGCGGAGGGACATTCCACAGCTGGACACTATCTGCAAGGAGTTTGCATGTTCTCCCTGTGCTTGCGTGGGTTTCCTCCGGGTTCTCTGCTTTCCTCCCACATTCCAAAGACATGCTGGTAGGTTAATTGACTCCTCTTTAAAAATTGTCCCTCTATGTATGCATGTGAGGTAGGGACCTTAGATTGTAAGCTTCTTGAGAGCAGGGACTGGTGGGAATGTGCTGTATAACTTGTCAGCGCTATATAAATAACTGTAATAGGTGGAGCAGAGCAGAACAGAGGTAAACACTAATTGCCACAGGACCGAGGATCAGGATCAGGTATCTTCTTTATTACGGACCCTAGAGAAAAACGAACCCCTTGTAGGCAGGGGTGGCCCCACTGGAAGGGTTTTTTTTTTCTTTAAATCCATGAGTTCCTCTTTAAAGATGCAAGCTTTCGGGATGCCTTAGTTCCCTTCCTCAGGCTAAAGCATCCTGAAAGCTTGCATCTTTAAAGGGTTTGTTCACCTTTTTACAAGAATTGAAAAGATTAACTAACTCAGAAAACCTTCCTCATTCAGTCCCCCCTACACTTATCTGCAATGATGATCATTGCTTGCCACCAATGGCAGCCTGTATAACGATCCTAGCACCTGCATACTTCACTGCACGGCTCTGCAGACTGTATAGCACCATAATGCTTGGAATGGGGAATGTTATGTGACGCTGCTGACCAATGAGAATCTCTTCTGAGCCTTATTTCTTCTGGGACCCCGAGATTCTAATTGGGGGAACCTGCTTCCCATAAAAAGCATCATGTTGCCATTAAAGGTCAGTCATCCCAACCTGAAATAATTCATTTCAGGCCAGGTGCCCTTCTCATTTCAGAGAGGTGCCCATTTCCCCATCCCAAAACCCGCCGTCGGGATAAAAAAAATTAACGAAAAAACAACAGACAGCAGGGGAATGAATAGCTAGATTGCTATTGTCTATTTCAATTTGCAATACCAGGCTGGCTATTGCACCCACCCACTGCAGCTGTCAATCAGCAGAGGAAGACCTGATGGAGAACTTCATATCCACCTCTGCTGATTGACAGGAGCAGAGGGCGGTGCAATAGGGGCTGGTGGTCCCGATATCAGAATTTAAAAAATGTAAAAAGACAGACAGAGCAGGGTAAACCTTTCCGGGATAAAATGTTTCTCCTCCGGGCATCCAGGAGCCACTATCTTATAGCGGGAGACCCCCGGAACGTCCGGGAGAGTTGAGATGTCTGAAAGGTGATTCATATGACCTAAAGCCTGGGCTTCCTCTTATGTTCCCATCCACAAAAACTGGCACTTGTGGGTATGGAAGAGCATGTGACCTTCTCACCTGTGAGAGTGCTTGGGTATATCAGCCAATTGTTAGACCCAAGCAATGTCATGTGGCTGGGGGGAGTGACATCACTCATCCCACAGGTGACTGTGGGGCTTCAGGGGCCCTTTGCAGAGACAATAACTTTGCTCTGCATGGGCAAGGTGACAGTATCCTTGTGACAGTAAGTTTTATATCATATTGGCGCTGAAAATAACTCCCACTTTATGAAAATGAAGATGTGTATTACATTGAGCCTGTTGTGTGTTCACTGTAGAGGTGAATGGCAGTCCTTATATGTGCATCAGAGCTGAAAATTGTTCTGGGCCCTGTTTATATACGTATGTTGATTTTAAAAAACACACCTTTTTTTATGAGGAGCCTTAATTATTAGGGGATGCGCATAATTATTATCATTTTACTATAGCAGTAATGCTTTGCAAATCCTCTATAAACATTTGTTTTTTATTTGTATCATTTTCTTTGTTTTGCTTTTTTTTCCTTCTTGTTATTTAACTTGTTTTTGTTTATAGCCTGACCTAGTTGATGCTTACCAGTTGGTAAAATCAATTTTTCATCTGGATTAGAAGCATTTAGATAAACCAGTTACTGCTACATGCATATTTAGGAGGTTTTATTAGACTAGTGTTACGTATACACCGACATCTGGATCAACCAAGCAGAGATTAACCAGGCTCAGAGATGACATGACGGTAGACAGTATGCCCAATCTTGATGAAAAGAATTGTCAATAAAACTAGATTTTTTTAAAAGTATGTTTATAAAAATATTGACATTTATTGGCCTTTTTTATTTTATCTTCTGTGTACATTCCATTAATAGCTGCTGCTCCAGGGCTAGCATGCTTCTATTTTAGCTCACATGATGAATATTCAAAAGCTGCAGATACTGAAGAGGTAAAGAGATATGAAGGTGATAGAAAGAGATCTCAGTGCAACTCATTAATCCATGGCGATCAATGATGTCTGGAATAAAAAGAAAAAAGTTTTTTTTTTTTCTCCTTTTGACAATATGGTAGGTGACAATTGTATATACTACCATCAAACCATTTTTTTTTACATCACTGAAATATTAAATACAGTTTAAAATATATGTGCCATATTTCCTTTGACTTGTATTTTTCTTAAATTTTGTATTATTTTATTGAATATCAATGCGCTTATTAGTGATATTTAAAAAAAAAATGTTCTGCAGTGGAAAACTAAGTTTTATGCATGCATTTGTATGAAAACAAGAAGAGCTTAATTCCACCATCATTTATGAATGTGTTTTCATTCCAGAGCGAGGCAGCGTGCTATGCACATACTGTGTTAATAAAAACCTCCTCTCACATTGTGCTCGGCATAATGCAGCTTGGGGGCTGTGTGGCAAAATGATTTTTTTTTCCCCTCTTGTTTTATTAATTTATTTTGCCTTCCTCATCAGCATCAACAGCAGCTATTTTCAAAGTGGGAGCCTGCACTGTATCTTGGGTTCAGAGACTTCTGCAAAGGACACAATCTGGTCTTATGCTGATGACACAGTGCTTGTTTCATCTGCCCCCAGTTCCTGGGCTGGCAGGCAGACTGTAAAGCTGTGTGTTTGCATGTGCAGCTCCACATGACTGTTTTTCTGCATAGAAGCATCATTAGGAGCAATCCCCCTTTACTGGGATCACTTAGACACTTCCAGCTGGTGGCAAGGGGATAGTGCCGTCAAGCAGCACACATTGCTTCAGCTGTCCTTTTTTTTTCCTCTCTCTCTCATTGTACTGATACATAACAATGACTGGGAAGGCTTCAGGTACTGGAAGGTAAAGGCAGAGATGTAAGCACTGGATCTGTACATGGTTCATCTCTTCATCCTGAGCCTGCGTACTGGCTTCCCTGCTGTATCTCTCCATTTGTTGGAGTCCTCACTGTGAATCTGGATAGAAGGTGCACCAGGGTATACTACCTTCTTCAAGGGCGCTTTTCATGGGATATTCTTTCTCACAATGGCTCATGCAGCATCCCAGTTAAAGAAGGGACGGGATCTGGAAATTAATGCAGAGGAGGAAGCTAAAGAGAAACGAAGGCACAGGAAGCGCTCCAGGGATCGAAAGAAAAAGGTATATTTTCTGCCTATGACAAGTGGATAGCTGTATGTATATTTCACAGGTGCACAGCCAGGCTTAGGCTGCTCTAAAATCCTGGACCACATTTCACTGGTACTGACTGCTGCAGTAATGGTGCAGGGGTTGTTTGTCCTCTATGCACGTCAGTCTTCTTCATGGGATATACAGTATAGATTCCCTATTATCATGAATATTTGTGATAGCAAATTTTTCTGGCACAAATGTTAAATTATTAATTGAATCCAGTGCTTATTTCATCCCACATTTTTCTTCCTGGCTTTTGCTTTGCTTATTTTACAGTCACAGCCTGGGACAAAGGGCAATTAAAATGCATGTTCCTATAGAGAATTAAGTATATCCAGTGTGCACTGAGCTTCTGTCCTCCAGCTTTGTAGATAAGGCCCAGACGCAGTTTCACTCTCATCAGTCGCAATTAATAAATATTGACCAAGGGCCGAAGACTAAGCAAAGCTTCCTGCTATAGGTTTTTTTTTGTCCTTCTGTTTTTTATGATCTTTGTGATATTCCCTAAAGGACAGATAATCCTAATTTTCTGTGAGCATTGATGCATGAGCTCGTTCAGTGACATGTAGATTTGCTGCAGTAAAGGAGAATCCTCCTTGGTAGATCACATAAACCACCAAACTGCTCATCTGTCTTTTGTTTACACTGTTAGTCCCTCATAGGAAACAATTACCTATTGTTATCAATGACATAATGAAGAAGCGGTTGTAGGTGTTGACAGTGGATATTACATACAGTGCATATGCTTTTGAAGTTAACTGCCATGCTTTTTTATAACGGTGTGTTAAAGGCCAAACAGCTGGATTGCTGTAATTGACATGATAAGGTATCACTGGTGGGTGATTGTGGTAGATCATTGTGTATTCTCAGCATTCCATGTGTGATCCGGATGTTGCCCACATCAAAAATTCACAGCGGAGATAACACAGCAGCTCTATGATACAAATAACTTACACTGTGCATATATTGCTTGATTCTGTTGTGTATATTCATCTATGATCACATATTGTGTCTTGATAACCCCGGAATGCTTACGAAACACATACTGTACACGTGTTGGTCGCGGATGTAGAGTAACAATGAGCTTCAGCAATCAAATTTTGGACAGCTCCTAGTAATTTGTATTTAAGTCTCAGCCACATCACATGATAGAGTAGTGTTTGATTCTTTATTTTATTTTTTCATCAGTCATGTAGATCAAGGAATTTGTGTTTAGCAACATTATGTCGCAGGCAGTTGTGTGTACATTTGTATGGTAATGTTATTACAAGCTCCTCATCCATGCTAGAGGTATCTCTGCGGTAAATGTTGGCTTGGTTGTTTTAGGAATATTCTTTTATACGCACATTTTACGTATTTGTGCAACCTATTGAAAAATGACGGTAGCACAGGCTTTTGGAGACAGAATGGAGATCAAAACTGGCTGTTTCTATTCTCTAGGAATGTTTTCTATTACCATAAGACCACCTCCTCAATCTTGAGGGGGAGTGAGACATGAAAGGGTATACATTGTCCTGTGTATTGCCTTTGTCCTTTGAAAAGAGCTTAAATCATGTGTGTCTATGTCAGGCCTACAAACAATGTACAATCAGAGCCTACACTGTCTACATATGTGCGTAATGAACAACATAGATTTTCTAAATAAAAACATTTGAGCTAACGGTTATTATTGAAGTGTCATCTATATTTTGTACAACTACCTGAGTAATGTTGTGCAGAAAAGCTCTGATATACAATAACACACAGCATCCAATTGGTTTTCAGCATCCATCGGTGTGGAGCAGTTAGTTGGTATAGGTTCCTCTGCTTTGCGCATTGTTCTTTGCCTTGTTATATAAGCCTTTCCCTGGTTAGAGGTGAAAACTTCATTTAACGATGCATTGCTAAGGTATTGCATGCTAAAGTGCTTCAACTGAGATTGATACATTAACAATAAAGTGTTATGGCAAAGGAGGTTTTTAAGCCTGGGAGTGCAAATATTTAATGTAGTAGCCCATTTATCTCACACTTATGATAAAGTAAAGGGTGTGGTTTTTTAGAGTATACAGGTCAGCACTTTCTGGTCCAGACAGTAAATTTAGTAAAGTATCTGCTTTTCGTGTTCCATGCACTAAGGGTAATTAGTCTTCTACTGTCAACCAACCTACCCATTGACATACTGTAGATTGCATGACCATGCCTTTTCAATATCGCATTTCATTTACATCACTCTTACAGTACCAGGCCTGTTGTAGTCAAAAAATGCAATTGATGTGATGAACATAGTATTTTTGAATTGTACCCTAACATATTTTACATTGGCATTAAGCTTTTACATTAAAGAAAAGTGCATGTCTTTCTGCATAGTGTAAGGACTCTCTGTATCTTTCACACAATATGATGTGCATTGAGCAGTGACCAAGGAGTAACTGATCAGAATCTGACAGTATTCTGTGTACTTCCCATACAATAGGAAATCCCATTCAAATTTGCTGGGCAACTTGAACAAAAGAATGGTACAGGCTATGTTCTTGATTTATTCCCCCCATGCCGTCTTAACAATTAGAGGTTCTAGTTCTATGTCCATGTACAGTAGCAGAAATGTTTTAATCTTTTGCACATTTTCCACAGGTGTCTTGTTTGCCCTTTAAACACATCACTGCCCATAATATATAATATTCTTATTATGTTCTGGCCTGTAGATGTGCATTTTCATTTTTCTTTCCTGATGACTTTTGAAATGCTGCCAGAGTCTGTGTATAGCTCTGCCAGGGTATTTAATAATACATCTTTGGAGTTGCTTTCAGCCAGTCCTTGTTAATCTGATGTTGGCCATCCAAAGTGGAAAGCATATTTTCAGTGTATTGGAAGAAAGAGATGCGTGTTTTACTGATTCCACTCAGAATTATCAGATGTTGGCATTTATGTATCCATGTTAGCTAACTATTTCAGGGTCTTCCAGGAACTGCACATTCTGTGAAGGTGCCCAAGCACCTATCGATTATCGTTCGGAAATCATCCACGAATGGTCTTTCGTATGATAATCGATCAGTTAAAGGGAACCCAAAGATTTTTTTTACTGTACTCCTGGCCGAATTTTCTTGAAGGGTGCGGCTGTAAAACTTTTTTCGAATCGTACAAACATCGAAGGATTAGTGCCGTTTTTGTACGAATAAAATCGCAACATGAACACTGCACATGCGCAAATGAAAATCCGTTCTGTCGATTGATGCAATTCGGTGAGTTAGTATTGCTGACGTACGATTATCGAAACGCCATTGGTTTGCGCATGATGGGGTATTTGAGCTAGAATCGAATGAGGGTTCTTGGCAGTAACGAAAATTCCCGAAAGAAAATCGCAGAGTGTATGGCCAGCTTAACATTGGTTCTCTACCAGAGTTGTGTGCTGATGGGTTCAGCAGTTACTTCTGCTTCTTATAGTTACGTGTTGTAACAATCTGGGGTTTTTCTCAAATGGTACATCTTTTGGATATCAGAAGTTTATTCCTTCACTCAAGCAGTAAAACTCTGTTCTGTAGTATTAGTCATGACTAAGCACTTTAGCCAGGAGTATTTCTATACATTGGGGGATTACCATGAGGAACACAGAAATCCACTGATCCCTTCACAGTAGGCTGCTAGTTACTTCTTACCTTTTGTGTCTTTGTTGTGCGTTCACCTAATTATTTGGGCTCTGTTTTGGCCAGAATTGTGTTCTATTTTGCCCTAAAATATGCAGCCACTTACATCTCTGTTGACCTTCCTTTGACTCTTGTGTAAAAAGGGATTTTTTTTATACACTTGTACAATTTGTTCTGTGTAATCAGTCGATATACTGTATGAGAAAAAAAAAGCTGAGCAATCTTATTATTTGACATGAACATCAAAGTGGAAAATATCTAAATACACTGCTGTGATGCAAACATGTTTACTCTGTTACTTGCGAAAGCATTTGTATTTTTAGCCAACCATTCTTGTGGCACACACACCTCTACTGGTCAGTAAAGATCATTCAGTTATTTCCTGGTTTACTGACACTGTCCTAGTCTGAGAGTTAATAAACAGAATTAGTCCTCAGAGTAAGTAGGTATGATTATTCTGTATGTTATATTTTGCACAGCATCCAAACTTAGGATAGTAGATGTTCTTGTTCTGATACCAATAGTACATTGTATATGAATCACACAGGGCAAAATATCTGTTTGTAAATGAACTATAGATAATTAAACATCTCTTATTGATCTAGCACACATGATACAGATTGGTGATCTTTTTCATCAACAAAAAATTCAGCTGATGACAGCTAAAGTGAACGTGTACTCCAGAAATTGGCATTTACACATTAATAAAAAGGCAACAAGCCACCACTGAGCCTTGTAACTACAGGCTCTGTAGAGCAATTCATTCTCAAAGATTACAACAAAATCACTAAAGTTAAAGTTGTTCAAGTTCTTCTCTCAGTAGGATAGCTCACTTTGCTTCCCCAACCCAGCAGTGACTTGGCAACCTTCCAGCCATCTAATCCATATGCAGAGTAGGTGCTCCGGGAATGGGAGTAGAGTGAGCCAAGCTGCTGAGAGAGTTGCCTTGAATGACTTCAGCTAATGCTTCTGCTGTGAATTTTGGGGATGAATTGTTCCACAGTGCCTGCAGCTAAAATGGTCAGTAAGGGTGTTTTTTATAGTTACTTTACTGTTTGCTAATAATATGCTATTACCTGAATGTCTATAACCTGACCACAGGCTAACTTTAAAGTAGATATTTAATGAGGTTTTCTGTGTTTGTACTCCTGCATTAGAAATATCTAGACATGTGCACGGCATAATAATTTGTTTTGGACTAAACAAGTAAAAAGGGTAAAACCTTTTCATTCGTTTCGTTTGATGAAACATGATTATGCTGTTTCGGATTCAGAGGCAACAAACCTCCCAATCCAAAAGCGCACATTAAAAAAACCAGAACGAGCGGTGCCATCTTGGAGGCAGGACCTA